TCTATTTTCAGTTTGAGTCCTATCAAATTGGTATCAGAGCACGAACGATCCGATGACAAAAAAAAACGAAGGAAGGATGGAACTACTGGAAAAAGAAGTGGAGGAAGTCAAAACAGAGTTGCAACGCTTACCAGCCATGGAGAGGGCAGTAGATCAGTTGGCCCAAAACATGACCAAAATGTTGCAGTCGATGGATGAAACCAGGAAAGCTGTAGCTGCACTCTATAACGTTAAGATGGGGCCGAATAAGAACAGCGAAGGAGATGGAACAGGGAGCCTCACCGAAGGGCAGATTCCGACTAACAACCAACATGGAATCACCAGCAATCCGCAAACGCCCGACCGTGGTAAATGGCCAGAAGGGACAGGGGAAGCTAGCTACGGGAGGATGACCATGAGTAACGACCAGCACAGAGAATTGGATAGCTGGCGGCGAGTGCGAAAATTGGAAATGCCTATTTTCAGTGGGGAAAATCCAGATGGGTGGCTCTTTCGGGCGGAAAGGTATTTTGAGGTCAATGGGTTGACGGAGAAGGAGAAGATGGGGGCTATTGGAGTAAGTTTGGATGGTGACGCATTGTCGTGGCTTCAGTGGACGGAAGCCAGGAAACCTTTCCTGGATTGGTAGCAGTTCCGGCAGCAACTTCTGCTGCGTTTCCGATCAACACAGGACGGAAGCCTGTGTGAGAAGTTTTTGGCCATCCATCAGGGCGGCACTATGGCGGAATTCCGGAGGGAATTTGAGGCACTGGCAGCGCCGATGACGGGTTTGTCAGAAGAAGTGCTAGAAAGCACTTTCATAAAAGGGCTCAAGCCAGAAATACGAGCTGAAGTCCGTTTGTTGGGCCCAAGGGGCTTGGGCCAAATTATGGAGACGGCACAAAAAGTGGAGGACAGGAATACAATTCTACAAAAATTCAAAGAGCCCATAGCCCAAAGAAACTACAAAACTTTCCGAAACCCCTTTTCCCATGAAGACAGTAACGTTGGCGACGGAGAGAGCTGAGAACCAGCGTAGGGAAGCCCCAATCAAGAGGATGTCC